ACTTATTCTACCAAATCAGGGTACCACTTTGCGACAGCCTTAGAGGACGATACCAGCGTCAAAACCAGGAATACCAACAGTAACTGGTACAAGAATGTCTGGAATCTAAAAGTGGCACCAAAAATAAAGACTTTTGCTTGGAAGACGTTAAAGAGAGCCTTACCAGTGGGTGCACGCCTGGTAGAGAGACATATCGATGTTGACCCCCGATGCAAGCGTTGTGGAGATTCTGAATCTATTGTTCATCTTCTTTTTCACTGTCCTTTTGCGCAACAGGTTTGGCATGACGCCCCGTTTAGCTTAGGCTTTGATCCTAGAGGAATAGTAGATTTAGAAGAAAGCTGGACAGCACTCTGTGCTAAGGCTTGTCTCCCCCCAACAGGTGTAGTTACGAGCCCCCTGTTCCCTTGGATTCTCTGGTCCATATGGAAAGAACGGAATAAACTCGTATTTAAAGGAATCTCTGGCTCACCAGCGGATACTCTGACTGTTGCAATCAAAGCGGCAAAGGAGTGGGAACATGCTCAAGTAAAGGAGAGGGAACCCACAACCATGATACCGGTATTACAAGAGACTCACCCTCCAGTCACAGTACTGATCCGAACAGATGCTTCCTGGCGTAAGGAAGGGAAGAAGGCTGGACTGGGATGGACTGTGCAAACGGCGACGGAGATGATCCATAAGAAGAAAGCTCTGGACCATGTAGCTTCCCCTCTCATGGCGGAAGGACTAGCTATAAGAGAAGCTGTACTTTTCTGCAGAGCTCATGACTTGGTCTCTGTTCGTATTGAGTCTGACTCCCTCCAACTGATCAACGCGATAAACCGGAAAGAGCAGCTTTCGGAGCTACACGGAGTCCTTGCCGACATAGCCAAGCTAAGCTCTTCTCCACCGTTTCAGATCTCCTTCTCTTGGATCCCTAGGAGCCAAAATGTAGTTGCTGATTCTCTAGCAAAAAATGCTCTATGTATGGTTGAAGCCTTTATGGCACTCACCTAACTCTGTTTTTATGAAGTTAATGGAAGTTTGTGTTCAAAAAAAAAAAAAAAAAAAAAAAAAAAATTCTTATAACCTATGTTTTCTTTGTCCACTGATCCTAACCTATGTTTTCTTTGTCCACTGATCCAATAAGGACTGGGAATATTGACGACGCGTTATACAATACAGATAAAGAAAAACCATAGATTGAAAGTTATTTTCTCTTACAAATAATAATCAAGGAGGGTTATTCATTGTTCAGAAACAAGCCAATATCTTTGTAAAATTTCAAGTTTTAATAGGTTTCAGAAGCTCTCAATTAAACTGGATATTTACCTCTTAACCACGACATCCAATTTTTTTTTTTGAATGAATGTTAAATTGGATTCAAAAAAAAAAAAAAGTTCTTACAATGAGATGCGACTTTGTTTGATAATAGAAACCACGACATCCAATTTATCTTTGCAGCTTTGCTGAAAAGCATGAATCCAAGCTAGTTAGCCAGATAAATCTAAATCTAACAACATAACGCTTCACAACATTCAGCTCTTTGCCTACCTATTGTTCAGTACATCAAATGATCAATATCTTATCTTCAAGATCATGATAGACTACTCATGTGAAGGTGGGTGTAAGACTTCTTTATTTGTGATTCTAACACAATATATATATATATATATATATATATATATATATATATATATATATATATATATATGTGTGTGTGTGTGTGTGTGTTGTGTTGATGATTACACAACTTTTTATTCCTTAACTGAATTATCAGAGTGTGTTCGATTTGGTTTATGGTCGATAGCACTTGGTGCCACGACTCCAGATTGTATATTACTATCTTTTCATTCTTAGGATCTTGTCTCCATAGAGTCGATCTAAAAATCTGTAGCGTATGATACAGTACAGTTGATCCGAATTCCATAGTAGCTTGGCAAAACCTTGGTCAGAATTTAGAACTTCGTTACTATATTTACGTCTGCCACTGACTCAGCTAAAAAAAACGGGTGCTTCACATTTGATCTCAAAAGCTGGCCTGTGTGGAGAATGAGCTGATTCGGGTATTTAACCATGTCCATGGTTTAGCTTCTGTGCTCCATGGACTGACTGACACTCCACCTTATGTTCACTCACATATAAAGAAAAGCTAAACTAAAACAAATATTGAACACCATGAAGCAGGGATTGATCACCAGGAGGATGAAACTAATCACCATGCGACTGGAGAAATTGATTTTCATATTCATGAAAGACCAAGATCATGGCCAAACAAATCACCGAAGTATCTCCATAAGAGATTAATTGTTAGATGGTGTTTTGTTTTGTTGAGGCTATTTTTTATAGGTTGTAACAGTTTAGTGGTAACGAAAAGTATACAAGATTAAGGAGGTACGTACTTAAGTACTCTTTGTTTCAAAAAAGAAAAAAAAACGTACTTACATACTCCATTCTTGAGAAAGCGTTCGTGCTACTTTGCTATGTTTCGATGGTAACGTAGATAGGTTAATATGCAGTGATCATAACTGAAGTTTTAAAGACAATTGATGGCAAACTAGTTACGCAAAAGTAGTAATTGACTGAGAATTGGTGATGATTACAACACTCTCTCAGAGTGATGCTATTGCTCTTTGATGATAACGTTGGCTGGTGTCACAGTAAAAGTTAAAAACTTTTATAATCGCAATTACTAAAGCAATTTTAAATGTATTGTAAATATAACCTTGAAGAGTTAATGTGGGGGGGACAATTGTCGTTTTTCCTGCACGTCTGATTTCTGTACAACACAATTGTTTATTTCTCATATCCAGGAGAAAATAATTAAAGTAAACTATGGGGGTGATTGGTAGTTGCTGTAGGTGCTGTCCACAGCCATATTTATTTCTACAGCACTAAATTTAGAGCAATCAAACTTTAATTTTTTTTTTGAAATTACAGCTCTTGAAATGATCTACAGCTATACAAGTGCTCTGCAGAGCCAAATATCCAAAGCATTTTTTTAGTGCTTTCCAAAAAATCTACAGTAATAAAATCTAAAGCCACAGCAAAAAGTCTACAGATTTTGTTCTACAGCAAAAACTTTAAAGCTACAGCCATTACCAATCGGACCCATATTACTGTGTTTTGGAAAAGGTAAACAAATAGAAAATTTGTCTTTATTTGTCTTTTCATTTTTACCTTTGATTGTCTTTAGAAAAAAAATGTTTATTTTAGTATAAGAAAATTTTGAAAAAGTCGACCTACCATTTGTTTTTATTTTTTACATTTGTAATCAATCACCAAGGGAACAATTCTCAGAACTTGATTTTACCAAAGAAAATAAAAATCCAGAAACTTGGTGTATTCATTAAGATAAATTGTAATTGTTTTTATTTGGTAGTGGCAAAAAATTATCTTGGTCTTATTGGAGGAACTTTTAGTGCCATTGGCAATTTGACATCATATAAATATATGTTTCATCATATTTTTAATTAGAGACATTTTGTAAATATTACATACATATAGGTTTATTCGATAATACAGAAACTGGGCCAGAAACAGAAAGATAAATAAATATTTGTTAAAGTCCTGAGCCCACAAAGTTCAATAATGGACCACTGGCTCATTTGGAGCTTACCAAGTAGGTCCCCTACATTTTTGATAGTTCGAAGTTGAACCCCACACGTTTTTAATTATTAGCTTACATGACCCACACTTTCGATTGTGTAATTATTTGTCAGAGAGTCCAAACAAAATAAATTGAAAGTGAAACACTACAAAAAAAGAAGAAAAAAAAGTTATGAAAACAAGTTGTAAATGTTGACTAATGGGAGTGTTGAGAGCAGATAAATAATCCAAATAAATTCTTGAGATGGTTAAGATTGGTTTGCATTTGACATTTCTAATAATTATATAATGGTTTAACTTCATGATTAATCATGTAGACACTATTTATATGCTGCTTTACTGCTTATTATGCGTTATACATTCATAATTAGCTGAGAAAAAGAAATTGTTTTTTATTTTGCAAGATTCTTCATCGAACTTTGCATAGTTTCAAAATAGCACTTCCTCAAAACTCCAAAAATCTTCATTATGAGTGGTAGATTTCCATCCACTCGAAACTTTTGCTTTCAAAGAAACAGACAAAAATAAAATTGCATGATGAAAAACAACCGACAAAAAAATTGAAAATAAAAAACCAAAGAAGAAATGAGCAAAAGAAAAACAAAGGTGCTAATTTGGCAAAGGTTGAACGTTCTTTAGTAAGTTTGCACGCGTGGGGCCTTCTACTTCCGAACCATCTCCATCTGTCTGAACTCTGAAAATTTAATTTACTTTCACAATTATTTTGACAATAATCTCTGTAATTAACTTCAACTTTTCCTACTGCGTTCTGATCCTGACCGAATACAAAGTAGACGCACATGCGACCGAATCATATATCCATGCTTCATACTAGTATATAAATTCCACTAAACGAACAACAAACTACATATATAATCAACTAGCTGATGATACTACGAAACAGGCCAACAACACAAGAACATATCCACCCATCAGTNGTTCTGATCCTGACCGAATACAAAGTAGACGCACATGCGACCGAATCATATATCCATGCTTCATACTAGTATATAAATTCCACTAAACGAACAACAAACTACATATATAATCAACTAGCTGATGATACTACGAAACAGGCCAACAACACAAGAACATATCCACCCATCAGTATACGTTCGTTCGCTAGCTCTTGTTATTTACAAGATCACTACCCTAAACACTCAAATCTCAGAATAATATAAACACTAATTGTACACAAGGCTTAAATTAAAAGCAGCCCCCCCACACGTCCTACCAAACTCCTAAAAAATTCTCATCACTTCTGTGTGGGGTTCTATTCCGTCTGCTTCTTTCTCCCGACTCCAAAGTCTCTCTTTCGCCTCGCCAGCACAAGCAATAAACCAGAACTCCCAACTCGAGAGTTTTTTTTGTCTTTTCTTCAAGTTAACAAAATGGTTTTTAAGGGTCTTTCACTCACCCGCTTGTTGCTTCTGATCTACGGGCTTTACCTGAACAGCAGAGGGAACCGTGTGTACATACGGAAACCCTGGAGGTACCAGCTGATGTTGCTGTGTCTTCCCCAAACCTCCCCCTCCTCCTTTCATGTTACTGGCTGCAGCGGTGGCTTTCGCTGGATCTGAAGTGGCGGTAACGGCTCCTGTGGTGACTGGAGGACAAGCGGCTGCGGAAGCAGCAGCTGATGAACCTGGTTGCTGCTGATGTCTTTGAATGTAATAACCACCAGAAGGAGATATACTCATCTGCTGCTGTTGATGTTGAGATTGCATATAAGGAGTAGAGAAGAAAAGTTGGGCTTGCTGCTGCAACCCATGCTTTGGCAACTGTTGCTGTTGTTGTTGGGACTTGGATCCAGAGACTGTGGTGGGGTTTCCCAGAACTGAAGGACTGTTGTTTCTTCCACCAGGGGAAGAAGCTGCGGATGAAGACTGCAGGTTCTTGGAAGGCTGAGATGATGAGTGAGTAGTAGAGGATGCTTGTCCAGATTTGTTAACAGCTGATGAAGCCGAAGCAGTTGTTCTTGGGCTCCCACCGGCGTTTTTGGAGACGGAAGACGTTGAAGGTGACCCAACTAACATTGGTGGAGACGGAGCCTGGTTGTTGGCACCTCCTTGCACCTGCTGCATTGGTGAACCAGAAACCATAGGTTTTGAGTTTGCTGCAAAAGATATCTGCGACTGCTGAGGACGGCTTTGCTGTTTATGGGATACGTTTCTTACAGACGCAGATGATGGTGGAGACAGTATGGACGGAGACTGCGCTTGGGAAGTGTTTGATGTCCTGGGTGAATTGTTTTTCCACTGCGGAGACTGCGCTTGAGTGCTGCTTGACTGAACAAGGTTTTGAGGAAACCCTGAATTGGCATTTGTAAACTTAGCGCTCCCCGCTGGTGATACAGAGATATTATGATCAGCGAAACCACTCCCATTACTTGCCACAGGACCTTTGGTTCTAGCAGCAGAAGCAGCGACTGAAGTTGCATACCGTTGCTGCTTCTGGAGATACATGGTATTATAAGGTTGCTGCAACTGACTCCGTTGCAAATGCTGCTGCTGATGTTGCTGTTGCAATTGCTGCAGCTGCTGCTGCTGATGAGACGTCAGTACAGAACTGGAACTCTGTGGCTGAGTAGAACCATGGCTGAGCAAACGGGATGTATCAACGATGCTACCACTCGTTACAGCAGAAACAGACGCATCAGCTACGTCGTGTTTGTTAGAGAAAGCAATAGACTGCGCACCATTCACACCACTCGTTTTCCCTGTTGCCCCTCCTGTTTTCCTTTGTTCTTCCCTCGTATTAGCAGTAGCATTAGACCCGGATTTTCCATCATCTGAAGAAGCACTGTAGTTAATTTTCTGCTGCGCTGCTTGAGCAGCAACATTCGCTGCCATCATTTGATAACCTTGCCTTGCAGCTTCCGGTATGCTGTGGAACATTGCGTGATTTTGACCAATAGATGACATGTTCGCAAAGGTCATGGCGTAACCCTGGGACTGAAACGATTCAGGACCAGCCTTTGAAACATGCTGTGATTTCTTTTCGCCATGATTGCTAGAGGATACGACTACTCCACCCCCTGGGGCTGCTGAACTCATCAAGCCTAAGTTGGGTGGTTGCATCTGCATACCATAGTTCTGGCCATAGGCAACACTTGAACGAGAACCCCGGCTATCAGCAGTTGATGGGCTGTCTCCTCCTACAGTCTCGCTATGTTGAGTCGCATTTTCTCTAGGTTGCCTCTGCTGGAAACTCAAAGGCTGGGATTGAACTTTGTGAGTCGGAAATCCTTGGGGGTTCCCGTGATTTATTGGTGGCCTTAGCTGTTGGTTTTGCAGATGCTTTTGTGCTGCTGAGGAACCAGTGGAAACACTTCCATTTTGGCTGCTCGGAGCATGGCTCTGGGGAATTTGAGCAGCTTGCTGTTGCTGCTTCTGTGGCTGAGAAAATGGAGGCTGGATCATTTGGGACGGGTAGAACGAACCATTAAAGAAAGGTATCGGCTGCCCAGAAGCTCCCCTATAAGCAGGTGGTCCACCAACATGTGCTTGGACTGGGAACGGATACCCATTATTCTGCAAGATGGCCATATACTGCGTCTCATTGCCTGGCATGCCCGGATAACTGAAGGTCATTGTTGGGCCACCGGGTGGAATAGCTGATGCAGAGCCATTCATGGAGTTAGCAGTAGCTGTCGGACCAGACGAAGCTGTGTTGCCACTAGTAGGAGGCCTGACAGATGCGGCAGCTATTGTAGCAGCAGTATGAGGCTGCTGGCCCACGGGGAAAATGAATGTCGGACCATGCTACAATAAAAGGTAAAAAAACAATCAGCTTGCAAGAAAGATGACAAAACTTGATATGAGAAGCATGAAAAAAACAATCAGCTTGCAAGAAAGATAGACAAAAACTTGATATAAGAGCATACTTAGATGGACGACAAAAAAAGAAACTAACCATGATGTTATTCGCTGCTCCTTGAGGCAGAGCTTGTTGAAGTAATATTTGATTTCTCTGAGCTGTATCTGAGCTTTTGGAAGTAGATTGAGAGTTCTTATCTGGAACAGGATTGGAACTTCTTCCCAAAACAGTCCCCTGAAGTTCTGTTGGAGGCATAAGACTGAGATTGCAAGCCTTGGTCCCATACAATGGAGCTGATCCAGGCCAGAACGGATTCATCTTTGTGAATTGCTGATGAGATTGAATATTCCGAGCGATATAGCAATGTGTTGCACATCTCTTCGGCCTCGGTTGGTTAAAAAGTAAATGCGGAGGAGGCTGCACGATATTAAAAAAAAAAATTAAAATAAAAAAAGAAATGTACGGAGGATTCATTGAATGGACCAGCACGGAATCGAAGTTACCTGCATTGCCGCAGATGATAAGGAACTAGTATCCGTAGGGACAATTCCTTGCGTAGGCGGCACGTACCTATTTAATAATCAATGAGTTTTTTTATTAATTCAAGGGATACAAAAAAAGAGACTTCCACAAAGTTTCACTTGTAAAAGCTACAAAAAGAATACCCCACTGTAGGAAGACCCCCCGGCCAGCCAGGCATTGACATATGCAGAGGAAAAGGGCTAGGAGCTGGAAAATTCAGAGATAAACGAATTTAAGAAAAAAAAAAAAACAAGAGTGAGACAGAAAGCTCAAGAAAGATAAGTAGGTTTATTAGTCTTACCTGTTTTATCTGGAACAGATAGTTGTTGTTGCGATGGCTGTTTCTGAACATGATGCTTGTTTATTACATTCACGTGATCAGATTTATCCAAGTCGAGTTTTAGTTCACAACTCCTCTCTGGCTTATGAGGTTCAGTCTCGGCCACCGTTTTAGGTCTCTTCTTCTCTTCAGACTCAAGAATCGTCGCACTAACTCCATCTTCCTTACGCAGAGGCTTATCTTCCTGCTTTCATCATGCATAAGATGAGACGATAGAGAATTAGAAAAAAGAAAAGGGAAAAAGAGAACAAGATAAGAAAAGAAAGCCCAAAAAGACAAATAAAGTCATGATGGGATATTATGAACACAATTATCACAATATTACCAAACAAAAAGTAGGTCCCACTCACCGTTTCCACTTCCGTGGCTTTAGATTTAGCTTCTGCTGCCACGCCTTCCATCTCTCCACCTCTCTCCGATAACGATCTAACCGGCGGTGGGGCCTAAACCGGGTTTTAAAATTAAATTAGGATAATATTAAAAAATGGAGGAAATTAAAAAAACAAACAAAAAAAGGTGAAACTTACCATCAGATCTATCTCAAACTTCTCCTTCTCCAGTGAGCTTCTGCATGATCAAAAAAGAAACGTCTCTGAGCACCAGACTTTAAGGTGAAAAGTCACATTTAATTTATAGATCATAGATCATGTGCTTACGATTTAGCTCCTGAAATGGTAGTAGCTCCGTCACCATCGGATCTAACTCGTGACGAAGACTCCACTTTCGGCAATATTGATTCCTCTTGCGGCGGATTGTTTTCTTTCTTCTCAGCTGATCTCGAATCTAACCCCACAGAGCTGCTCTCTCTTTCTCTAGCCTGTGGATTGGTCGAATCCAATGCCGAGCTGCTTTCTTCAGCGGATCCTGATCTCTTGAGCTGTTCACCGGAAGGAGGAGCTTCTGCTTCAGTGGCGCGTGATGGTAAGCCGGGACTGTTCTCGTCGTCGTATTTGACATGATGCCTCTGCTTCTTTCTTTTCGGAGCTGTAACCAAAGAAAGATTAAAAAACACATAAAATGAGTAAACGAAAAAACAAGAAGGGATCGTTGTGAATGGAGATTGACTTTACCAATAGACTGAAGAACTGTTTGAGAATTAGAGATGGGTGAAGATACTTTGGACTTGACATCCACAGTTGTTTTTACACCTCCCTCGTCGGATTCTTGTTTAGATGTGGCGAGAGGCATCCTCATCATCCCGTACAACACTTCTGCGATCTCAATCTCTATCTCGTCTTGAACAGCCACCGGAGATGACACTTTACACGACGAAGACTTCGGCGGGAGTGGCTGTGGCTTCTGTTTCTTTAAAATCAGAAGAAAACGTTTCTTTAGTCAAAAAAGAGAAGATGAAGAGTGAGAGAGATTAGAGAAGACTAACAACCTTTTTCCGATGGATAGAAACAGTGGATGAAGATGGAGAAGTAGGAGCTGGAGGAGAAGGAGAAGTTGACACTTGCCGGTGGTGGTGGATTTGTTCTCCGGAAGAAAGTAAACCACCACCGGTAGCACTAGAAGCCCAAGACTCATGTGGTCTCTTAGTACAAGCTGTCAAACAGAGAATCAATAAATCAGATTAAAAAAATGAAAAAGAGATTAAATCAGTTAGAGAGATGAGATGATTTTTATTTGTAGCTTCCACCTCTCTACCTGACCGTGCTTTTCTAGGAACCGACACTCCGATCATCTCATCCGCCGCCGCCTTCCAAGCTGATACCTGCGGAGAAGGAGGCGATCTGAAACTTCTAGATGTCGGCGGAAAGTTCTTCCTCTGGTGATGATTCGATGAAAACGACGTCGGAGGAAGCATCTTCAACGAAGCTCCTTCATATTCTTCATCGTCGTTGACACTCTCTTCCGAGGTGTCCTCGTCGCCGCCGTCGTCATCATTACCGTGAACCATCATTAACCGTTCTCCTCTTCTCCTTTTACTCCGGCAATTTAACCGATCTCTCTCCCGGTTATCACGTTCCCGATCTCGCTCCTTCTTCCCACTCCCTCCTCGATCTCTCAGCCTCGCCGCCTCCGGTAACTCCACCGGACTACCTTCCTCCTCTGAAAACAAAAACAATCAGAATCAAACGGTTTTTATTTTCTCAGATCTGAAGAAGAAAATACAAACCTGGAGAATCTCTGAAACTTCCGGCTCTATGTCTCCGCCGTGACAAGGCGTTTCCGGTAACCGCCGCCGCCATGGGTGGTACTCTTCTAGCTTCTCTATTTCTATCCATCTTCCTACTCTCTCTCTCTATTCTATCTCTCTCTCTCTACTAGCTTCCCATTATCTCCTTTATTTGTGCTCCTCATAATAAAAGCAGCAGCGAATAGATCCACGGCTCATGTTAACCTTTTTCGTAATCTCCACCGTCCGTCTGAATGCATCCAACGGTCTCGAATTGATATGTGCCAGCGTGACAACATCTCGACCCTCCGTTAGAGAGATCTCACATTAATAACCTATATTTTGTTTTTGTTATTAGCGAAAAAATGTATTCTTTTATTATTTTATTAGTCAGTATCCGCTGTGGGACCCCCGCGGAAATGAGTAATATAGTGTCTAAAATCTAAAGCTAATTTATAGTATTTTTTTAGTGTTTGTTTTATTGAATTGATAATTCGATCCTGCGTATTCATGTGAAAATTTATTTGGACTGCTATACTAAAGTCAGTAAACATTAAACTGCCACGTGTCGAGAGTGGACATCACGCAGGCTGCCGTGTATGTAAATCTCTACCAATATTATAATGACTTTTTCATTGTGTCGAGAAATTAAAAAGAAATTGAACATAAATATTTTTAATATCTCTAATGTATCGAGCATAAGATAATATTACTTAAAGTAAAGTAAATTATAATATTATTATAAGGGAATAAATATTTGTTTTTTTTATCAAATGGGAATAAAATATTTGTTAAAAGGCTCCTGGGGTAGTGTACTGTTGTCCACGAATCGCGACGACTCGTGTGAAAAAGTAAACAAATTACTGACATATACACGCACAAAGATATTATTTTAGTTATTTTACCCAAAATAATGTATCACCGGCTACTACCGGGAAACAAATACCTTCATTAAGGCAATATAACTATGAAAATGGAATCTTTGTGACCACCTACACACCGATCTAACCGGTATAATTAATCATGTTAGGTTCCACTACTCGACCTCTATTCTCCATCTCTTGCCCTTTACAAGTCAATCAAGTAGCTTCTTTGTGATTTTTTTTTGTTGGAACTGCAGTAAATAAATGGTTGGTATTTACTTTTTCTCTAACTTTTCTTTTTTTTGGTCAATACTTTTTCTCTAACTATTTGTTTATTAATTTATGTAATTATTACATATATTATAAATTTTCGAAACCATAAAACGTAAAATTGACTATGAACATTTACGGTTTCATCTTTGAACTTTAAAATTCTTAGAATCTGATAGTAAAAAATCAAATAAATTATACAGTGTTTATTTATTTATCCTGTCATTACTAGCTACTAAAATTTATCCTATTTTCAAATAAATAAATATCACATTCACAAACATAAAATCATAATTGGATTATTCCTAGGTTAAGCTAGAGAAAATGGTCAACTTGACATAACCTCAAAATTAGGGCTGGGCAAAAAAACCGAACCGAATCCGGCCCGATAAAAAGGAACCCGAACCGATCCGAACCTGACGTAAGTACCGAATGGATCTTGTTTTACGGTATTTCGGGTTATGGGTATTACCCGAACCGAACCCGAACTTAAATGGATATCCGAAAAAACCCTAAACTTTAAAACTCCTAAAAAACTTGTATCATATCCAATGTAAATTTCTAATATGTTTTCTAGAACAGATTAATATATTATTGAGTACCTACAATAATTAGTTATGATATAAATAATTAACTCAAATATTTAGTCTAATGTATAGTGTTATTTGGTATTATTAATGTTTATGATTGACATTACATTTGAAGTTAAGTTACGAATAAATTTGTTTTGAAGTTTATATAATGTTTTTTTTTAAAGTGTAAATAGTACTTCTTACGTTTATAGAATTGTTAGTTGTTAACTTTAATTTTTTATGTTTCATTATGTATAATATTTCGTTCATACAAGGTTTTGGTTTGTCATTGATCATGACAATATTATTTTGAAGGAGAACAATATGGTTTGTAGATGCTAAACCATATTGTTCAATGACAAATCTTATTTGGTTGATAGACGAGTTTCACAATATTATTTTGAAGGAGAACAATATGGTTTGTAGAAGCTAAATACAAAAATTTAATAAAATGATTGAAAATATAGTGAGTTCAATTGAGTATAAATTAGTATTTTTAGAACCGATAACCCGATTAGTATCCGAAACCGAAATTATTTCGGGTTCAACCGGATCTTGGACATGTTACTAAACCCGAACCGAACCCGACTAAACCCGAACCGAATCCGACCCGAGTTTTTATAATATCCGAATGGGGCTGAAATTCATGAACCCGAAAACCCGAAACCCGAATGAACCCGAACCGAAACCCGATTGGGACTCCGATTGCCCAGCCCTACTCAAAATTCTGTAAGAGCACCCTCAAAAAATAATTACTAACTAATCAATTCTTGAGAACTCCATTTTTCTATTATTGATGGAGTTGATCTAATCAATTAAACAAATTCTGTAACTAATTAATAAATGACATAATTGTCTTTATATTTTTAATTTTAGGAACTGAGGGGTAAACCTATAATAAAAGAAAGCGGGCCAATTCAATTTAAAGTACTAAAGTATTAATTCAATCGATTAACTACGAATTGATGGCTAAGATCAATTACTGGCAGTAGCGAAATACTCACTCAACCGTTAGATGTCTAGGTTTATTTTCATATACTCATACTATTTTGTATTCTGGCAGTAAACGTGATCGCGAAAATACTAAAAATGGTGTTGAGTTGGCACCCGGCCGATTGATCTGAGTCGTTGATTAACATCAAAAATTGACGGTTAATATGAGAAAAGGTTAATGCATGTGGGACCTTCTTCACTCAAATCGTGGTCACGGAACTTCCGAGACTGTGGGGCCGGCAGTCAGCTGCCAATGTGGAATTACTCCTCCCTTTTTTGAAACAATGTTCTTTTATATTTTCACCAACATCCTCATATTCAAATCACCGCTAACTCTATTATATTTATTTTTCTTGATCTGTTTGTTTAAAATGTTCATATTTAAAACTGCTTAGTTATCTAAAATAATAAAAAGTTTAAAATATAATCAAATTCCTTAAATGTAAATATAATTATGCCAAAAGAGGATAAAAGGAGAAATTTCCTATGATATAATAATGACTCTTGATTTTACTTATATATATTTGATCCATAGAGTATATAAGGTTTTTACCAATTTAATACTTAAATTTAATTTATTATATAGAATTATTTAATGTTTAGAATACCTTTTAACAGAAAAAAGAAAAGAAAAAAAGAATACCTTTTATTATATAGAATTATTTAATGTTTAGATGAGTGATTGTGACGTGTATTGGGGCCCGCGTTGTATATTAGATTCTGTAATTAAGTAACAGGAAGTTTTGTTTGGAAAATGTTCAGGATTCATGCATATAACTCGCAACTAATGACAGTCCAGTAACTACACAAAAACAGTAATATTCGTATTATCTAATAACACAAACCACACGCCAGGGAAGCGCGTGCATGATACAGATATGCACGTGGTTTCAGACTGTTCCAACGTGATGGATTACAGTCACGACACGTGGAAGATGGCTCTATCTTGATTTGTCGACTTGGATCTTGTTTCTGCTGTCGCCGCTACTAGTTCGCTTAAATATCTCTCCGTAGTATCAAGGTCAAGAGTTAAAAAAGAAAAAAAAACTAACGTCACGCGTGTTCAAGGTGGTGGTATGCGTGACACCCGTACTAATGGCTTACGTGGCCGGTTATAAGTGGTCGAATACATTATCTCGTTGATGAGCCGTCATGTAAATTCTTAAGATATTAAAAATGTAATACTAATAAACACTGGCAATGCCACGTCAGAGTTTTGAGACCCACAAAATGAATTTGTCGAGTGCGTCAATTGGAAAATTTTGCTAGAATAGAAGTTAAAATTTGTTTGTCACAAATATAGAAATTAAACATAAATAAATATATATTTAAAATTTTTTGGATTGATTAATTTTGAGATTTTTTTTGTTTAAAATTGAGGAATATAATTTTGAGGATAAGATTTCAAATTTTTAAAAATATAAAAACTAAAATTTTCAAAATAAATAATGATATTTTGTCTTTTTTTTTGTTTTTACGATCTATCTTTGTCATACAAAGTTAAAAATATTAATTTGAGAGATCTGTCCTTCCTTTTATCTAAAACTAGGGCAGTTCCGCGCTACGCGCGGATTTGATGTATCAGATTTTATGAAAGATATAATTTTGTGTTAGTTTTCTTTTATATTCAGTTGGTTGTGCGGGTGATTATGTTAGTAGATTAGAATTTTCTACACCAAATTCTAATTATGTAACTAAAATGACATGAGAGCATTCTTAGTATTAATGTTGCAGATTTGATTCAGAGTTGCGCGATTTTATATTTTTATAATACTCATAACACTTCTCTACAATCAAATCTTGAACATTATAAGTCAAATCAAACAAAATCTATCAAAAAAAGAATGAGAGTTTTTAAATAATATTTTTTGTGAGGATCTTATATAATAAAATTGGTTTTTTTCTTCATATGAGAAAAAATGCCATGTGTCATCTTCTTTAATGATGTTTTAATGTTTTATTTTATTTAATAACTATTTATCTCAAGTATATTTTTACATTTAATTAAAGTATATCTATATTTAAATCTATAATTTTAAAAAGTTTTAGATCTTTCCGTTTTAGCTGAAAATATATTAAAATTTTTAAAAATATTTTATTTTACTTAATGAGCCAATAAATGCTAATAAAAATTTAAACATTAATTAAAAGAAAGTTTTATTTCATTAGTGTTTTTTAGTTCTGTATCTTAAAGAAAATTTACAAATAATTATAATATATATATATATATTTATTTAATTATAAACATAGGATATATAAGTTAATGTGATTTTTTTTACAATGTACTTATATTTAGTTTATTTTTTATTAATGCTATATATACATATATATTGTGATGGTGATATATGATTTAGTTATAAAATATTTCAAACTTT